TGTGGCAGCCATGTTTTACACACTAAATGGGTGTTTAGAGCTCAGATGGACGCTGATGGCGCCATTGAGCGTTTAAGGCGCGTCTCGTGGCCTGTGGGAATGAGCGGCTCCTTGAAAATGACTAAAGTTGAAATTCTGCAGTAATGGAGTTGAGCACCGTCACGGTAATTCTCAGTTTTGCGCGACGTTGATGAGTGCAGTTAATCACGGCGACATTCCGAACGCTTATGTTAGGGCTGAGATTCAGCAGGATTTGGAGATTTACTTGTGCATTCCACAAGAATCGAACATGTTGAGACAGATTTGTCGCCAGGGTGGCGTTGAAAGTTATGCAAAGCTAGCTTTGCGTCTGAAGAAGTCGCTTTACGGCCTGAAATAGGCAGGAAGGCTTTGAAGTACGCTGATACATGCGAAACTGGAAGAGGCCGGGTATACGCAATGCGTGACAGACCAGTGCCTGTACTACAAGCGTCAAGGAATATATATGAATATAGTTGGCGCCTATGTGGACGATCTTATGGTTACGGCGACACTTCACAGTCTGGTGGAAGACCTTTTTTAAGTGATGAGTTCACTGTCAGTAAAGAACTTGTAAAAGTGTGAAAGTTTTCCGGTATGCGTGTCGAGTCAGTGAGGAGGATAAAAATTTGGATTAAAAGGCTACAATTGAGAAGCTATTTTAGCACCATGGGATTGCCAACGCAAATGGCGTACGAGGTCCAATCGGAGATAATACGAACGAGGTCGAAAGTCAACCGCAACTGATACCAAAGGCGAGCACTGGTGGAGAGCCCACAATTCGAGATTTTCAGTCTCTTGTGGGAAGTTTTCTGAGGGTCGCTCGTTGCAAGTCACGAGAAAGATTGATGGATACCGTAGCTCTTGGAAGATAGACCAAAACTTTTTATACTAATATTACAAGGTCCCACTTCGGTAGAACCAATCGCTCACCGGTAGATCTTGGTCGCTCGTCGGTATACTTGACCCCCATCGGTAGACCCGTTCCCTCATCGGTAGACCGGGTCCTCCTATCAGGACCTCAACCCCTCAAGAGTGAATCCTGATGTATAGAAGAACGGAGAACTGATATGATTATATTGGAAACAGAAGAATGTATGACGAATGAGATGGAAACGGATGAATGCACATAACTGAAGTCGGGAGGAACAAATTCTCGTGTTCAATAAAATCCTCAAGGTGAAGAACCTACGAGATTAATGAGGAGAAGACATGCGCGTGCTCAAACCGCTGTACGACTGAGCAAGTGCAAGGGGTGGCTGTGGTGAAGGTACTTTTCTGAAAATGTGAAAAATTTAGGGACCAGTTGGATGGAAGGACTCTGGGACCGCTCACCAGGTTAAGGAGTCGGGGAAAAAGGGGGCCTAGTGTTTAAGCAACCGTTGGTGGGGAACGATTTTAAGTACCAGCAACGGGGGTATCAGGATCAAGGTACCAATATAAGGGGACCGGAGGAAGTCGAACCGTTTCAACATTGGAAGACGTGGTCCCTCATCGGTAGACCCTTTTCCCTCATCGGTAGACTTGGGTCCCTCAAGGTTCAGCCACTCCTGACCAGTCAACACAAAGATGAGACTACTCGACACAAGAAGTCAGGTTCAGGCAAGGATAGAGTAAAGAGTTAAAAGGATAGGACTATATTAAATACTACTCAATTTGCGATCTACGTGGCACGACTTCGTCGTCCTTAGTCCTTAATAGATTGCTCTAAGCTACTCACCTGTTCCGGGAAGGGATATATTTTGGCCCCCGTCGAAGACAGTTGTGTAGCAAAGTTCAAGTGCGAATAGATCTCCAGGATATATTTGGCCTGTGAGCTCGTTCGAGTAGCAGCACCCCCAAGACCCGCTATCGGAAGCGGCCTCCCTCACATCACGGCCGAAAGCAAAGGTCAGGTGGTTAATACCCCTGAAACAAGAAGGAAAAGTCCAGGGACGACAAGATCCCTGAAGAATTTGTTTCTAAGCCCATTCTCGACAAGGTCGGCCAAGTGGCCACCTACTGGCTCACAGAGTGAAGCATATCCACTCGAGGCCCCCAGGTCTACCTCCCTCAAGGCAGACGTCTACATCTTCACCAAGTCTTCCGAAGAGTGCAACCCGCCAGCCGACAGGTACACAAGGTGAGAGAAGGTCCATAAGCGGCATCGGGGTACCCCCTCCGACAGTCGGCAGTACGTCACAATGAGTGGTTTGGGGTCTCATCATACAATTTTGAGAACCACTCCACCACACTTTTGATCAGCCATCCGATTGCTCTATCTTCATCAACTACATATACTGCATCACCGCTGCTGAAGTGGTTTCTAAGTGGACAGATTCGTATATGTGACCAACCTGGTCACAGTTAAATCATTTGCCCTTACAATAGCTATTACTGCGTGAAGTGCCCATATTGCGAGACGTACCACCCTTTCGACCGTTGCCTCTTCCACCTTAAAACTTTTAGCATTTCCAGACACGCGAAATGCGTTCTCCGTAGCCTCCTTCCTGTGCAGCCTCTCCGGTTTCTTCAGAAGATTCTCCTTCACCTCGATAAGCGCTATGTCCTTCGCATTCTCCAATAATCTCATATTCTGACGGAAGACTGATCAGAAGAACCACAAGCTGTCGCGACTCATCAACCGGATCTCCCGTAGTCTAGAGTCCAACAACCAGCTCGTCAAACGCGTCCAGATGTACCGCCATACATCTTGTAAAATTCTCCATTCGAATTCGTGGAATCGGCGCGACGTCGCCACTCTGTTGTGAAGAGCAAAACGGTTATAGAAGTCGCGAAGCGTCTTCCATGCTTCCATAGCGCGCATTGCCGGCCGTATCTTGGTCTGGTGCTAGATTTTAATTTCTTTGGCGATGATGCTTAGCGCCTTGGCGTCTTCCACAAGGCACGCATCCGTGATGTCGTTCTCGGTCTTAACAGCCAAGATGTGGCCCAGCAAACTCTTTCTCGCTAGGGGTTCTCATATTGTACTCCCAGTGGTAATAACTATCACTCCCTAGAAGGACTTTAATGCGCTTGGTGGCCATGGCGAATGGAGGTGTTGTTGCGGCTGCGAGCCTGATGTATAGAAGAAAGATTAACGAAGTAATATATCTGTACGTCCTTAGTTTGCTTATCCTATGCTACCTCTAAGACAACTATATCTAGATAGACCATTGATCGACGGTTCACATGTCCATAATCAATGTCCGTAATCAATGTCCGCTGACATGATACTTCCCGTAAACATAACCATAATACCTTGACGTCATCGGCTTTCTAAAACTTGCAATGAGCGGCGTCTACTCAACATTATATCTCGCTAATAGAGCGATTTACGCCGTCGATGGAAAGTCGCAAATCGATCTATCTTAAACCACGACATTCTACTGTTAAACGTAGATGATATGCCGTGGAAGAATAAGTGTTTATTTTAGTGTTTCTGTGTCTTGCTTACCTCGTCATGTTACTGGAGTCCGTGCACCACTCACACTACACATCCTAAAAGCCGGCGGCCGAATCGGTTACCACTCCGCGGTTTAGTTTACTTTCCAACACTCCTCCTTGGTCGTCGCGCTCTTCCCGTCCAGTTTCCAGATTTTTATTCAAATTGAAAATCTCCCGCAGCTCCAGCATTCTTGGCGCGGGTAGCGCCTTTGTCAGGAGATCAGCCATCATCAACCGCGATTCTACGAACTTCGGCTTGACTAGTTCTTACTTGGCGAAGTCAAAAATGAACTTGACTCGATGGTCGACGTAAATCGCGCTCTTCATGCTGTCATCCAACTCTAGTTGCTTGATAGCAGCCTTATTATCCATCATCATTAGCACTGGTTTACTATTGGATTCTCAAGCTCTCGCACTAGCTCTCGCACTAGCTCTCGCACTAGCTCTCGGAGGCCCAGAATCTCACGGCCAACGTGAGAGGCCGCTGTAAACTCGGCTTCCATAGTCGACCAAGATACGCCCGTCTGCTTTTTGCAAATCCACTGCAAAACAGCCCCTTTAAGCGTTACACTTCGCCAGTCACTAGTTTTCTGTCATTTGTATCAGCGGCGAAGTCCGCATCACTCCAGCTCTGCACTTCGATTACTTTTTCTCGAGAAACTTCACATGCATACCTAGCTTTAGACTCTTTGTCTCCTTCAGATAGCGAGCGATTATTTTTGCCCTTTTCCAGTCACTAAAAGGTTGGTTGGTGAGTTCGGCGTGTCGCTTTGTGCACCGCAAAACCAATGCCAGGCCTCGTGATTGTATCATTTCATAACAACTATGGCCCGTCTTATTACGCTCAAAATCTCTGATTAAGGCTCTACAAAATAAATTACACTTTGTCTACCCGTGAGGGGTTCGCATGTCCCTTCTAACACACGAAATGTTTTTGCTGCTGCCGTCTATAACGAGTCTTCTTACCTGTGCGAATTTTCAAAATTTCTTCGACTTCGTACTCACCTTTCTCCAATTCCCGCACCCAGCTATCTTCTGGTAACAGAAATTTGTCAAAGTCGACCCAGTCTGCACTTTCTATATATAGCTCGCTGCTGGGTCGATCGGAAAACTCTCTGACAGGTTTGAGCTTGGAGATGTGCAAATTTGGGAATAGTCTGTATTCTGTGCCTCGTAGTTCCAAACGTGCCGCATGATCTCCAACCAATTACAGAACTCGGAAAGGTCCGTGCCAGAGGGCGCTAGTTTTTTTGGCGTATTTCTCCTTCACTCGGTCTAGATATAGCCATACTTGGGTACTCGCCTGAATTTCATGGTCCACTACTCCTTCGTTATGCGCTTGCATCCGAGCCTGACTAGCTGTTCGTAGAATCTCGTTAACATGATCCCTTGCTCACTAATAGTGGCTCTAAATTTGAAATCTTCACCTCCGAGAACCTGAAACCCGACGCCGACTATTCACCACTTGTAGCATGTGGTCCTATCATTCCCTCCATGGACCAAATAGAACGGTATTTCCCCGCGCACTCTGTTTTGTGCCTTATTTATCGCAAACGTCAAGCATTAAGCATACTCATCCCAGTCTTGCTTCCCCACGTCGGACTATACATCTTGATAAACCTGGTCGAAGTTTGGACCATTTTCTCCGAAGTACCGTTCGCCTGAGGTTGGTAGGACATGGTCGCTTGCTGCCGTTGCCCTACCATACGGCTGAATGCTCGGAAGAAGTCCAACATAAAACCCGGTTCCCGATCGTGACGGATCGCCTCACTGGGTTCAAAACGGTAAAAGACACATTCTTCATATCCCTCGGCTACCATTTGGGCCGTCCGTGAAGCACTAGCTTTGGCCATCACATAACCAGTGAACAGGTTGACCCAGATCAGTAGTTCCGTATTCCCTTTGTACGACTTGGGGGGAGAAGGTATGTGGTCCATCGCGATAATTTGATAAGGATACGTCGCTTCAACATTCCCCGTAGACTTCCCTTGTAAGGTAGGCCCTTCTTTCCCAGTCTCACAATCCCTGCAAAGACCCACATATCTCTGGACACTCCGATATAGACCCCTCCAATGACAATATCGTCGAATCCGATGATAGGTAAGCCCAATTCCCTGATGACCTCCCTACAAACTTGTATGATAGTGATAGAGAACGTCGGCCTGGATACTCTCGGGTATCACCAATCTGGCAGTCATATCTCGGTCGTCTCCCTCGATTCTCTGGCCGGGACAGTAAACTAGCAGTACTTCTTCACTTATCTCGTAGTCTCCAGACATTTTGCTGCAAGTTCGAACCAATTCAACAGACAGGTCACCCCAGTCTCCCTTCATATATGTCTTTAAATGTCGCACCCAGCTCTCATCTTCTTGCGCATCTTGAATTCGATCTAACCGGAGTCATTGTATCACGTCTTCCAGCGTAACTTTTCCGGATATCCTGACGGGGGACCGTGATCGAGTCACTGCAAACAGCTTGACAGACGGAATCCGGTCTTTAGGAATTAACACCTCTGGCAAATGATTGATCGCTTCTAGACCTGGCCACTCATCCCTTGATATCGACTCGATTCCTTTCTGTTGGTGCAACGCTGCACTGGTTAACTGGGCCGCGCTCTGATTCCAGTCTTGTTTTACATGTTAGACTGCAGGGGAGGGCCACGACTGGAGCTGGCTCATTGTCTTTGCCCGTAACGGGGATAAATCTGAAGCCTTACACTCGATCTCTCCACGCATTGTCTTACAACCAAATTGGAATCTCCACAAATAATTAAACGCCTTCGCTCCATTGACTCTAACAGGTCAAAAACCAGCAACATGCCCTCATATTCCGCCTCATTCACTGTAGACTTATCGAGGTACTTCGACGCAGCTTCGGCTATAGTCCATGCAGGAAGTCTCCATACAATATCGCTGCAGGCACCTCCTCCTTGCTTCACCCGGGCTGACCCATCGAAACACATCACATATAGTTCTTCGTGTGGTTTCATTGTGGGTGTTAGTAGGTCGACCGTCTGTCTGGTTTTCTTCTTGGGAGCAATTGACGACAGAATTGAGTCTACATTCTCTCGAGGCGTAATACTGGCTGCTAACGCCCCCAGTACCTGGTCTTCGCCTTTCTTGCATTTCACAATCTCTTAAGTCCACTGGGACAAAAGAGCGGCCCAATTTCCTAAGCGACCTTGCAACCCTGAAGACTTCACTAGCCAGGCTAGTGTAGAATGTCTCGTCAGAACCTTGAGGGGTCGGTTCACCAACATCGTGAAACAAGTCTCCAATATTCGTAACAACACCAACACTTACTTTTCCTCTGTGCTATAGTTCAACTCGTAAGACTTGAGGGTTCGGCTCGTAAACATTACCGGAATATACATGCCGTCGTAATTCTGCACCAACGACGCCGAGATAGCCCAATCACTTGCGTAAACAATGATGACCGCCTCTCTAGCCGGGTCAAAATGTCGCCACTTCATCGTTAGCCTTCAATTTTCACCTCCAAGCGTGAAATTCCACCTCTCTCAGTTCATAAAGGATCGACGCATATATGGCATAATCTTCGATGTACCTGCTGTAGTAATTTAGGCTTCCTAGAAAGGATTGCATAGCCTTCAGCGTTGTCGGTAGAGGTAGGTCGACCAAAGACTAAAGATCTTTTGGGTGGGCCTCTAGTCCCTCCTTGGAAACTCGATGTCCAAGATACTCGACCTTCCGACATCCCCATGTACTCTTGACGGCACTGATCGACAAATTCCAATAGTCACACACGTCTAGCAGCCGCTCCACTTTCTGGCATAATAAGTCCCACGATTCGGCCGGAACCAGTATATCGTCGATGAATGATCGTCGACCCAATATAGAGAGGCCCGATTTTGCATCGGGTTCCCCTGTTGCAAACAAATCTTCTAGCTCATCCCCCTTGTTTTCTTCAGAAATCTGTAATAATCCAACAGCCGCTGGTATATCTGAGTTGCATTCTTCCCCGGTCGCCAACATGAATTCAATTCGAATCATTAATGCGGTTGTACTGAACGTGACGATAAAATGAAACAGCTGGACGTCAACACAGCTTTTCTTAACAGTTTGCTGACGGACAGTGTCTATATGGAAGTTCCACTTGGTGTTGAAAACGCTGAGGGTTTCGTATGTCAGCTTAACAAGGCTATATACGGATTGAAACAAAGGTTGCGGTGCAGATTAATGTATTTATGTCGAGCGATCCCAGGAAGGCTTCATCTACGTTAAACTCATGTTGATGATATGATTATTGCTGCAAGAACACGCAACGAGATTATTCCGTTAAAGCTTGCGCTCAAGAGTGCTTTCAATGAAAGAACTGGGCAAGGTAGATGCTATTCGAGGCATCTAAATCGATCACGACAGTAACGGGCTAAGGACCCGTTACCGTCTTACACTAAAAGGGCGTTGAGGAAGCGCTCTTAATAAACTCGTAAATATAACTCTGTGTGTTTTTGTTTAGTTTTAATTCGCAGTAAGTGCGAATATGTTCCCTAGCTCATGGGAACCACTCAATATGGAAGTCAATTTATTATTGGCTAATTATTGGGTCTGGCACCCCAATAATAAACCAATAATAAAATAACGCGCAGTATCCGCTAATAGGATACTGCCTTATGCCTACTTATGTAATTATATATTAATCCTATAACTACTCATGTAATAGATTGCTCCATTACAACGACAGGACAGCTAGGACGCTTATGATCAAGCAGACTCGGTATATCGATGACTTGGTCAAAGGTTTGGTCAACAAGATGCCAAGAGTATCGAAAATCCATGTGCATTAGGAGTAAATTTGTCGTCACCGCAGCCACCTACTACGGAAGATGGACGATCACTTGTGCGTTCAAAAACCATACCGCTCTTTGATTGGATGTCTTCTATACAATGCGGCTTGTACGCGCCCGGACATTGCGTACGTGGTTACACAACTGTAATGGTTTTTGATGAAACCTGGGAAGCAACATTGGATTGCAGTAATTCATGTACTGCGCCATCTGGAGACTACACGTCAAACCCGTAACGTCTACCAAATCAGTGGCAACATTGTGGTCAATGCGTACTCGGATGCTGATTGGGGCAGCAATACCGATGACAGACGTTCGGTTTCAGGGATTATGATTATGATTGCATGCGCTCGAGTAGTATACAAGTCAAAGTATTAGCGAACAGTTGCGCTCAGCTCGGCGGAGGCTTAATACATGGCTCTTCGTCTATGCACCCAAAAAGGTTCTATGGACACGCACAATGCTCAAGGACATGGATCACGAACAAATGGGAGGCACACAGGTATGGGAAGACAACCAAGGGGCAATCGCTTTGGCTAGCCACGCCGGATACCATGCGCAGACTAAAAATGTGGACAGTAGGCACCACTTTATTCGGGAGAACGTGCAACAAGAATTTTTGAAGATCGACTACATCAACACGGAAAAATCATCTTGCGAATATGCTGTCAAAGGCACAGAGGACCAAAACGCTCTATTTCTGCACGAGACAACTGGTATCAAGACCAAGCCGACACATAACAAACACAGCATTAGCGGCAAGTGGGAGTGTTAAGTAGACGCCGCTCAATGCATGTTCTAGAAAGCCGATGACGTCACGGGATTATGGCCATGTTTACGGGAAATATCATGTGATTGGACATTGATTATGAGCAATGAGTATGGACACGTAAACATTCGTTCATTGGTCTATATAGATGCAGTAGGCTCAGAGGTAGCATTATTATGCGAACTAAGGACCTACATATACATTTACTTCGGAATATATCCTTTATACATCACCTAAACTTTTTTTAAATGATATGTCTAGCATTTATATAACCCATTAAAACCTTAAGGTTGTACAGTTCAAAATAATTAAGCCATACCTCCCCAAAAGTGCGTACCAATACTTAAAAGCTTAAATTTATGGACATTTTATATAATAATGAAAATAAAAAAATAATATTTGATTCGATATATAAATGATAACATAAAAAGTATATTTAATTAATTGTTAAATAATAATTTAATTATTATAGAAATAAATGTAAATTGTTTTCGATGAATTAGTATTTTACCATGTGAAAGCGATAAGCTTATAAAGGCTGTAGCCACTTCAAGCTTTTGCATGCTAAGAATAGTACCCAAATGTGTTCATGGACCAAATCAAATCCTTACATTCTTTTCAGACTATTTTTTTAGACCCCATGGCGCAACCCAATGATTCATCCAGCACCACTCAACATGGCTCCGATCGTGTCTTTCGCTGGTATAATCTACATTTATTTACTTGCATTATACTCTCCAGTATCTCTGCTATCTATCCATATCATTTTTACTCAATAAAATCCATTTACTAATGAATCAATCAACTGTATTCACAGTCACCAGGACCTCATGAAACTCTTCTCAACTTCTACTCGACGTAGTAACAGTATTACCAGCAACATGAGCTCCATAGTTCCATACAAAGATCAGCAGCTTTCCCAACATGACTTTGCAGTGTTTCAGCAAAAATTTCAGTTCATTCGTGACGATGACGACGATGCTGAGAAGGGTCAGACGGACTGGCAGATTCGCATGAGTGTACGCTATTATCGACAACTGTTCCGGGAATACGCACTTGCTGATCTATCTAGGTATAAAGAGGGCAAGATTGGTCTTCGTTGGCGTACGGAGATGGAAGTCGTAGCTGGAAAAGGACAGTTTTCATGTGGGAATAAACATTGTGACGAACGGACTGGACTGCATAGTTACGAGCTATTATTCGCATATGTGGAGCTTGGAGAGAGGAAACGGTGTTTGGTCAAGGTGCGTGCGTGCAGTAATTGTGCTGAGAAGCTGTTTTATAGAAAACTGGAAGAGATGAGGAGGAAAAAGGAAGTGGAAAGAAGAGAGCGGAAACGACGGCAAGTGGAAAAAGGGGTATCGGATACAAGAAAGGAGAAACGACGTCGACACTCGATGTCACATTGTGACCTGTATGACTGTGGTGAGACCGCTGACGGGCTTGATGATGTTAATGAGCGGAAAGAGAGAGTAAGTGACGAACTTGATGCAGAATGTGATAAGGAGATTCACGAGCTGTGCACGAAGATCAATGCCGAGCAAAATGCGTCTTATTCGCGAGACTTGGACGAGCCGAAGAACGAGTTTGAGGAGCTGCTACCTTAAAGGAAATGGCTAAGTGCATCGAAAGCAAGCACAAACACGTGCGAAGTGCTCTTACATTGAAGCTTCCTAGTAGCCGTACTTGTCGTTCAGCTTGGTGCGGCCGTCGCCACTTTGGTTTATCGGAGGGACCCACACGTGATCGCCTCCTTCTAAAATACTCGAGTCGTTGCCGTAGGGCTCACTGCTTCCGCTAGGCTTCATCTGCGGAGGTGGGCCCATTGCTGGGCTGGCAATACGTCGCCTTTTCGGTGCAACTGTGTCGGAGTCAGTTTTCTCTGCCACCTTCTGGGACTCCTGCGACGCAGCCGATCGTGTTTTTTGTTTGTCACTAGGAACACTTTTCATCTCAGGTAGACCTGACTCTTGCTCTTGCACCGAGGCGTGGTGTTTGGTTACTGCTGTAACAGACACAGCTGTCCTTGCAGAAACCGGGTTTGGTGACTTTGTATGTACTTCTGAGCATTCGACAGAATCATTCACTGTCTCAGCTGATGCCTTCTGGATTGGGAACGCAGCTAACGCCGGCGTGACCACTGTAAGTAGTTGTCGCTGGCGCTTTAATTCCATCTCCACTTCGTTCTTTCGTTTCGTCAGCATGTCTACCTCGTTCACATACAGCTGTGTGGTTGCCACGGCCATGAAAGAATCTAACGGGTCCACTTGCTCTTCTTGTTTACTTTCCTCACGTGCAGCGTGTGCATCAGAAGCCGTAATAGACGCAGCCGTCAGCTCATCGTGAAGCTTTGCAAGTTCAGCTTCTAGTTCGTTCACATTGGCCTGAATAGAGTCTGCTGTAAGAATCTCGCTCTTTGGTGCTCGCGCAATCTTCGTCGTTGCATGTACACCAGAAGCGGCGGTCGAACCCGTTATCTTTTGCTTTCGTGCTGCAATCTTTTGTTGATTGGCTTTCGTCCGATCATAAAAGTCGTCTTCATCACTGCCGTATCCATATAGCTCATCGTTTATATTGCGTTTCTTCCTAGCACTGCTGCTTGATACGCCTCCAGTCTTCGTCCGCTGATCATTCTTCGCATGAATCCGTCCTTCCAGGTCATCAATCTCCTTCATTAGTGTATCAATGCGTTGTTCATTTCGAACTAACGTGTTCTGTTGCCCCTCCGACAGTCCTTCAAGTTGATTTTGCTTCGCTAGAATCCTCGACGTCTCTAATTTTATGTTTTCCATCTTGCGAATCCGTGTCTGCAATTGTTGATACAACCGGTGGTCCTTCTCATTAATCTGCGATTGACTGACACTGGACTTGTAGGGCTGATCATCCTCTTTCAACTAAAAAAAAGAAAGAGAAAAATTAAGATCATTAGTACAGCATCTCTTTTATTCTTAAAAAGTCTCCTTACATTCCGAAGGTAGTCCGGCAACTTTTCTTTACACTTTGCACCGTCTTCCTCTTCCTCACTCTCTCCTTCCTCCTCCTCGGCATCTTCTCGAAACCCCCATGAAGCTCCTCGGTCCTCTTGCTGTTTCTTTTGGTCTTGAATTTCTCGTTTCTTGTCCAATTTCTCTCTAAATTTGACCAGATTCAATGACTCGTACTCGGCCGGTAACAATTCCGGTGGACCGCAAACCGCATAGAGTCTTGTGGACTCCCCAAATACCAACACATCTCCAGTATGTAATTGTACATACTCTTCAGCCACTACCCGTTTCTTATTCACATAACAACCATGAGTACTGTGAATATCATAGAGAAAGAGTGCTCCTTTTTCATCGAATTGAAGTGCTGCATGGATCCGAGAAACGGATGGATGAGCGAGATGTAAGTCGCAGACATTTTCCATTCGCCCCACGACAATGTAACTGTACCCATTTGATCGAGATAATTGAAATTGCTCTATGACTATACCACCTTTGATAATTTCCAGGTAGATACCAAATACATTGCGGCCTTTAGTACTCCATTCTGGTGGTAAATATTGTGCCATAATTTAAAAAATAAAAAAGGGATAATATAATCGGTACTACTATAATACTTTTTTGCTAACTGTTTAAATAAAGTACTGTTTTGCCTCTAAACGTTTTTCACACTCAGTTTTTATACAGAATATGTACAGCTTGAGTTTACGACAAGAACATGATGTCTATTTTTAGTTTGGTCTATATTCGAAGCATTGAAGCTTATCGTTAAAGTACGACATAGAGGCAGCTCGTGCAGTAAAAGTAGAAGATGTTTTAATTATATTAAGATCCCAAAGAAGGCTACATGCGCCATTCCAAGCGTTTCGTCACTACTGTTACAAGATTGTACGGCCTTTACTCTGTCGTTGAGTATGAAAGGCATCACACAAAGACATGTGTCGCATGTACAACCGGCTTTGAATGTTATCGATTGCTTGAATTATATAACAAACATTTCGTTACATGAAGTTTTAGCACACAAAGCACTGAAACTTGCCAGTCAAAACGCCAGTTACAACGTGGCAACTTCAATTACATGTCAAAACTAATCTTATTCAATTAATTCAATGCATCACAAACCGATCATCTAATTAGTACATTTTGACGCTGCAATATCATTTAAATGACCATCACTCACTGCCAGTCATTTTTTCGTGTTGTTTATTCTCATCACTTTTTGATCAGCAACTTTTTTCGTCTGCCAGTAGTTTTTTTTTCCTCTACCTGATTTGGTTTTATTCTTAAGCTTTGTATTGTATTTCATTGACCAATCCACATTACATATTGGACAAAAAGATCTCTTTACTACAAAAATCTTTTTAGATTCAATCTCATTAGCGAATCAGTCGTGTACGTGACATAAGATCCGCTCATATTCTGTCATGTCATGTGGTACGAGAGAAGCGCTGGTTTTTACCTTAGGGCTCATTACCGGCACGGGGACTACTTTGTAAGTATAACTACATAAAAACACGTAACCCCAAACCCACTCTAACCGTAACTGTTTTGCATTCTCTAAAAAAATAACAGAACTGGCAAGGTACTTTCTTAATCCAATACACCCCGTCAAAAGTGATATTCTTTTCTTTACTAATAATGTATTAATTATAAAAAAGGTTTTATACGGTGTTGACTCGGTGGGTCTTGATGGACAAGTCAAGAAATTTGAAAAACCCATTTTTCAAACATGGCTCATGTTCCTCGCAATGGTCTTTGCTTTGCCTATTCATTGGGGTTATCACTATTACGTGGAACGACAATGGCGTCGCAATAATCGCAATGGCAGTAAGTAGCTCACAAAAAAAACATATTTTTTTAGACTCACCTATTCACCTTTATACTCGTATGTCTTGTCTCTTGTCCCACTAGTCAAATATCATTATCGCATCCCTCGCAAAATTTATTTTTTACTAGCATTTCCAGCAGCTTTTGACTTGGTGGCAACATTTGTTGCAAATTTAGGACTCCTCTACGTGACTGTCAGTGTATTTCAGTTGATGAAATGCACTGTCATTGTATTTGTCGCAATATTAAAGGTTGTCGTATTTAAAGATCGACTTCATGGCTACATGTGGATTGGTATTGGATTTAATATGCTAGCCGCTCTAATGGTGGGTGCTACAAGTCTCGTGGATTCGGATACGCAAGATAATAACTCGGAAAATCAGCATCCAGCATTTGGTGTCTTAATGGTCGTCTTGAGCTGTGCGATTCAAGCGGTACAATATGTTTTTGAAGAAAAGCTTATGGATGAAGGAGACAGTGCACCTCCTTTGGTAGTCGTGGGTATGGAAGGAGTTTGGGGATTACTTTTGACCACGGTTGTTATTTATCCAATTGCTTACTTCGTTCCGGGAAGTGATTTGGGTTCCAATGAGAGATTTGATGATGCTTACGAAATGCTCATGAATAGTGGACTGGCTCAGATAATTGTCATGGTTTACTTGTTGGTGATTCTTGGATACAATGTGTTTGCCGTATCGGTGACATATTTACTCAATTCAATTTGGCATGCAATTTTGGACAATTTCCGGCCGATTACAGTCTGGGCAGCAGATTTGATGTTGTTTTACTTTTTTACACAAGGTCAGTTTGGTGAACGATGGACAATTTGGAGCTGGTTGCAGCTTGCTGGTATGACGACGTTATTGGCAGGTACGGCAGTGTACAATGGTACCCTGCGCCTGCCAGGATTCATTTATATAGAGCCGGTGGAAGTAGCTATGGCTGCAATTCGGACACCCGAGGCTCTTACTGCATCTGCGTTCTCACGCTCGCCATTGATTACTCGCAATGCGATGAAGGCAGCAGAAATCGCACGTCGGACACCAAATGCCAATGATCGCGATCGTGTGCGACGTGAGTTTATGACTGAGTATCAGCCATTGGCAGACCCGGAAGCTCGACGACGTATTGATCCTGCTGGACACACGTACGGATCGCTCGAAACTTAATTATGCTGCTTCGTTAAAGCACGAACGGTAAGTACTGGTGTGTGAAGCGAGGAGAGCAAGGCAATAGAGCAATGAAGACTGGATGAGAGCGTTAATGAAAAGTGATGCTTTCTACATCGATTTCTTACAGCAACGGAAAACTCATCGTTTGTTTTTGCTATTGCCATGAAGCGTTTCTTAAAAGTGCCTGAAAAAGCTCTTCAACATGCGCTTGATGCAACATCGTTTTTGCGCTGTGCACTGCATATTGTCAACACATAAGGAGTCTACTAGACAACACCATCCAGTTACTACAAGCACTTCAACTTGCTATTGAAATAACGACAGTTGTGTATCGTAATGATTCTACCAATCCATAGTCTCCACTAATAGTAAAACCATGCAGCACCACCGTGCCGATGATATCGCCTTTTCTGCCTATAATGCCGATAATGAAGACTATTACGCCTTTTTACCTAGTGATGAGTCCATCAGCGACGGGGAAGATGCTTCAGTATCACCTATTGCTGCTAAAAATCACGATTCAGTGGAAGAATTGGCCGCGGTATTCACGTCCGAGAACGCCATTGGCTCTTCATCCAAGGTTTTGACCCTTCTCGGCAGCTTAAATGGTAGTAAAGCACCGCATAAAGAGATGAAAAAGACACGAGAACAAGTGAAAGTGGTAGCTCCAGGGGTTTTCAACGTCGGAGGAGGTGAAATAGTAAAAGTCTCACCTCAAACTTTAGAGCTTTATGATGCAAGGAAAATGCAGTTACAAGACGCATTGGATGCTGCTACAGGTGACAATCGAAATGGAGAAGCTCCATTTCGGTTTGCAATACAGGACAAGCAAATGGTGAAGTTTACGGATGAAATGAATGTTGAAAGATCGAGTGCATCACCGACTTCGATGTTCGATCGGGTAGAAGGTCATGCACCGGAAAAGAACAATTTAGGTAGAAGACGACCTGTTACGGAAAGAAAGGAGAGTGATGACGAGAAGGAGGAGGAAGAAATGGTTGAAGAAATGGTTGAGCCAGATATGCTGTATGATGAACAGCTGGACGATGCGGACGAGCAGTGGGTACAAACGAACTTTCGTAAGTTTGATGCTGTCTAATGAGCTGAATTGGTACATGTACTTACGTGTAAGGTGTTGCTGTGTGCAGGTGGAGCTCACGCTGCAAATTCAGAGACAGATGCAATGCTGTGCTGTCCATGTTGCTTTGTGACGCTATGCATGGCGTGCGAAAGGTATGCAGTGTTTACTACAAGGTATTGTGGGATGAAAGCACTGATGAAGGGATCTTTGTCGGTACTCGTGTACGTAAATGTGTTAGGCATGCCACCTACACCAGCCAGTATCGAGCTACTGCAGCAATCAACTGTCGTGTCAAGCGAAGCGAAATCCTCACTTATGCATTAAGCGAAAGTAATTGTGCACCTGCATCGCTGCCGTTCCACAAGCGGCAGAATCTTAATACAGGAAGCGGCCACAAGACAAGCTCCACCACACCAGGCCAGCAGATTGCAAGTTTTTTGCAAGCAGATGAGTATTTTTCTGTGGCATGCTCAGACTGCGGCACGATAGTGGGTGTCTTCGACCGAGACCGGCAATACCATTTCTTTAATGCTTTACCCAGCAATTGCTAGTGTTCCGGTCAGGATGGTCTGACAGCGCTCGACAATATGCGAGGGTGAATGCTGATAACCTCATAATAATGCTGAGAACTAGTTTGTTATGTTGTATTCAACTTAGATGACGTTCAATGCTCATGTGTACATGCACCTACAGGGTTTGGCTTTTTAATAAAAACACTGTACATTGCGCCCACGCACAACTTTGTGGGCAATTGTTGTTTTAGTTCGCGCAGACATAAAGCCACCAACTAGCTACAATACTAGCCATACCTCCGTCGAAAATTCCACTAGAATCGCTTAGCCTGCGCTGTTTCGCTGATCTGCTTTTCCGTTTGGTTTTCGCGAAGTCCTCCTTCGGCATCACATGACCAGTTAGTTTGTTCTTCTTAGGCAAGAGCAATCTCTACGTTCCGGACCTTGTCGTTCAGCTCTGACACCAACGCCTCCAACTGTAGAGTGGCGTGAGTGCGATCACGCACCAAGCGGACAGCAGCCACAAGCTTTGTTTGTATCTCACGCAACTCTTGCAGGGCTGATGCTGGCCCTGTAGTGATGCTTGATGCTGCAATTATCTTGCGTAGTTGCTCGCAAACTTCTACGCTCGTGGGTCTCTCACCAGGGTCGATCGAGGTCATGCGTAGCACGAGATCCATCTCCATAGGAAAGTTCTGCCGAGCCTTTTGAGGCACAACGCCATGGCGCACACCAGTTAAAACCTGCGAACGCTCCATCATCGTGCTAAACGGGCAGCACAATTCCAGCAAGATCACACCCAGCGCAAAAATATCCGACTTAATCGAGTACTTGGCGCTTTTAAGACGAGTCGCGGCATTTTTCAATGCATTGCTACTGCTGAAGCGGTACCCCAGCTGCTCAGGAGACGCATAGGTAAAAGTGCCGAGAGCTGTCGTGTGGTCGCCATCGCTAAGGCCCAGCTCCTGCAGACGTTCACGTGGAGATGCAGCCCCATCAATCGAGTTGTCTGCAAAAACGGACTTCGATAAACCAAAATCGCCAATCTTCGCTGCATCACCATGGATAAAGATGTTGTCCGGCTTTAAGTCGCGGTGAATCACACCGTACGAATGCATGTGAGCAACGCCCTGCACCGCGCCAAAAAAGAGCTTGAGACCTTCCATATATTTCTCCGATTTGTTAGACCACGACGACCGCTGCTCAAGAGATGAGCGAAACCACGCTCCCAGGTTTGAGTGCCTTTCTTCGCCAACGTGCTGCCGCTCTTGCTGTGGTGTTTTAAACTTGTCCAGAATACGATAAATTGGCTCGTGATTGTCAATTGCAGTCGGAGACGACGGTACAGAATTCATTGCTGTGCCACATAGCTCCATCTGTATGTACAGGATAACCTGGGCCTTCACGGCCGCCAACTCTGCAAACGAACTGGAAGCAGCTTCTACCTCGTTTTCCAGTATTTCCTGTTGTCCAAAAGGCGCCTCGTTAGCGTACAAACCTACCAAATACTTGTCTTCATCCTCAAAAGTGAATCCAGGAGTGGAACACTCGTCAAAACTAAGCGAGTCCGCCGAAAATTCAAGTGGGAACCACTCATCATCACACTTCACGCTACTTCTCTGCAACTGAGCTTCCTCGTCCAACAAGGCTAGTTGCTGGCGTTGAAAATCCTGTGGACTATTATTACTTTCAACAAGTGACGGAACATCTGATCCACGAACACTTTTCGTCGATGAATTCGTGTCAGGAACATATGCATCCACCTCTGTCCAAGCTGTATGGTAGCGAACCACATTAGGATGTGGAGCCATGGAAGCCATAGAGCAAACTTCTCGCAGAGCTTGGCTTTCCACGCGTCTAGCATCTAGCTTCGTTGCACGGGGGAGCACCACCTTTTTGATAGCATAGTAGCATCCATCTACTTTGCTTCGCACCTTATAGACAAATCCTTGGCCTCCTTCACCTACAGAGCCCACGACTTCAAAGTCCTGCTCAAAGCGTGAATTTAAAGCACACGAATCCTCATTGCGTAAAGCAGTGGAGCTAATGTTCATCTCCGACGATGAAGTTACTATGGGCAAAAATGCTGCTGTCGTAGACATAGCCGCTGGCCGCGCATTTGTTTGCTTCGTTGAAGTCTTGTACTTCATTTTCTCCTGAATTTCATCGGTCATGGCTTGCATCGCCAATGCCGGTGTCTCCAATTTCAACGATTCCAAAAACACCATATGCTGCTTTTGATTACGCTCCTTTGCATCTTGTTGCTTCAAGAATGGTGTAAAGTGGCTACTTTGAGAGCCAAGCCACTCTGTCTTTTGTTTGTGGGGCGCAAAGAATGCCGACGGATAAAACGACGACATGGAGGAAAGAGCTGCACTGCTTTGTGTACGGCATGACACACAATGCCTCGGCATTGGAGGAGGAATTGACAGTGGAGAGTCCACTGCTTCCTTCTCAACATCCTCTGTCCCTGTTTGAAAGTATCCAATAAAGGGGTTTGTCTTGTCCACTGAGGTCCCTCGTTTCCTTGGATGCAGATCATCTCCCGTCCCACACAATGTCATCTTCGTTTTTGCATCTCCAGCAGCCAAATCTTCACTATTTCGATCGATAAATGCAATTGGAGGGGGTGTTGCCAAAGCCAGAGATACTGACGTGACAGCTACGGCCTCTTCTTCACTGCTGTTCCATCCTGTAACATTATTCTTAGCGCTTTCGGGGGAATGGGGCGTTGACAACCGTCCACTAATTTGAGAAGCGGTGGCTGCACGTCGTACACTCGGCAGTCCATTGACCCCATTCTTGGCGAGGCCAAAAGCAAACGTGCTATGCATGGACACAAGCTAAATAAGATTGCCGGCCACTGTGCCTGTTGGCGGGTCTGGCTGACCAGCCGCTATACTATTACCTTGTCGTCTAACAAGCAACTCCCTCACCCTACCACCTCTTTCTTTTCTTTTGGTTATTGTATGGGCGTATGTATACTTACTACTTCTTATCAGGTTAAGAGACCGAAGTGACACTTTGTCGGTCAATTACAAAATGAGGCTGAGGAGGTGCTTAGGAGGACCGATACCTGTCAAAACGCATGACAAACGTCGCATAGGACGGATACGACGTCATCGTTGTTATGAGAAGCTACACTAGGTGATAGAAACCGTACATTTACATGCAATTGTTACACCCTAAGATCAAAAGATTGCTGTTAATTGGCTGAAATTTACTTTTTGTAAAGACACGGCTATCAGTAGTTAATTGATTTACACTGTTGCGCTAGAAGAGCCTTAGAGTGAGCGAAATGGACGGCCTAGCGCTCGATCTTCAACGTGCGTGAAAGATCGAGCTGTTGAACACTTGGCGCCTCCTCAAATTTTACACAAAATCAGCACAGAAAAAACCGACGGCAACTTTAACGCTTCTACAGGGGCGTGTGATAGCATGTGCCACGCTCATGTACATGTGCCTGCACGCGTCCGTCAATAATGCACGTTGGAGGCTGATGCAGCTGTGAACTTCGTCCCATACTTTATCGGCTTGTTGAAGTTTCGTAGCCATGATCAGACCATTATTTACATAAACTCACACAAAGACGATCTTGAACCTACGGTACGCGTCGAGTGGAGACTCTCTCTCCCGTGTGAATATGTGTGTCCATGCACTCGAATAAGCACGATACCTTGGCTTTTATCATCAAGATGATTGCTGCATGGACCGTAGTGGAGGATCTTTGGCGGTAGAGGCGTAGTAGGAGACGTGACATTGGAGAAGAGCCGCTCGAATCAAGTCAGCTGTGACCAAAAATACATCCGATTACGGCCAAGCAGACGTCACTGGGGCGCGTGCGAGTTAGTTGTGACCAGTATATCCCGTGGTCTCCAAGTAGTTTACACGCAGAATCATGATCATACTGAGTAGGTGATATACGTCACGTTTTTACCAGCATATACGAGAACTTGAGTGGTCGTAAGGAATGCTACCCGCGTCCTTGCAAGGACAGAAGAGGTCGGTGTCGTCTGTTTGCGCGGCAAGATGGATGAGTGAGCTAAAAAAGAACAAGATAATGCATGTTTGGAACGTCAGTCTGAGCGGCAAGATGGATGAGTGAGCTAAAAAAGACAAGATAATGCATGTTTGGAACGTCAGTCTGAGCGGCAAGATGGATGAGTGAGCTAAAAAAGAACAAGATAATGCATGTTTGGAACGTCAGTCTGAGCCGCTAGCGGAGAGTTAGTGCTGTAAGGGTGATACGGTAGCAATACTGGATGTGGCTTTGCTTCCTCAGAGTCAGCAGCCAGGTCTTTTTTGATCAGAATGAAGGCTTGCAATTGATTGGACGGGCAAGCAAATAAAGCTCCAAAAGTGCGTAAATGTACACAGCCAGCGTAATGGGTATCCACGATGACGATGTAGGGGGGTGCTGCTTCATTTTTTGTAGTGAAGACGATGCTGTGAAGATGTGGGAATTTTGAGGCGAAAGACAGCGTGGAGCTCTATGTAAATCTGGACAAAGGCAAGACTGGTGCCGTGTGATTTCTTCTGAGCAGGAGGACTTACTGATTAGTTGCGGTGCCGCACCGAATGAGGTTTTCGACGTACTGGACAGGGCATCTTTAGTGTTGTACACAGCTTGAAGGAGTACCTGATTCCATTTTTATGCATGTCCAGAGCTAGTTGTGTCTCAGCGGTGCTGGAAATGGGTATTTTCGATGCAGATGAGAAAGTTAAACTGTTGTATGGTCTTGTACAGCGGTCCGAGTCATTGCAGCATCAGCGGGCCCCTTGTCGCCGCTGACGATGACAATGGAGTCTGTATACAAAATGAAAAGTTCAAGGGCCATGAACTCATGTTTATATAATGCCGCGATCAAAAATCTTATCAATAAGATTTTCATCTCCATTATCAGATTTTGTCATTTTATGAGTTAGCATGGTATATCATACTATTTTGTGTATTTTTATAGCATATATTTAGACCAAAGGTATCGGGCCTGTAACGGGGTGAGCCCGTTACATAATAATTGACACTTATATGAAGTGTCAATAAAATATTTTTATAACTAATAATATTTTGACAATATTACCTTTTCTTATAATATTGTTCCTAGATCTCCTTGAAGTTGGAGATGCCCTCTAATTGGTTGATATGGGCCATCATATCAACCAACGCGCTGACCAATGACCGATGGACGCGCGCAATGAGTGGAGGGCAAGTTGTCAACATACATAGTTGTAGATTAATATAGTTAACATAGGTTATAACAGATTAGTTTTATTAGACAGTTAACTATATTAAATAGAGTTTTCTTTTCCTTCTCAACTAAGCGTTTGTTTAGTTGATTGACTTCCTCTGCTCACGTATACGTGAGGTAATTGAGGCACCTGATTTCACTGTCATCAGTGAAGGTAGACTATACTGTTATCAGTATAGTCTAGGTGCCCCATTACACCTGGTAGCACTTCGTGGTCCGTTCAGCGACCACCGCACCATTCGCTATGGAATTAGCGGATGATGAACATCATCACGCAACGCGTGATGCTTTCCACCATTTGAGTGATCTCGAATGGAATGCGGTTCAGCGTATGGCCGAAACCATCGACAAACCTGCCCCGTTGGTGCCATGTTGCTCTCTCTTTGCGAAGACGACCAACATGTAATCATCGCCTACTTCATACAACATGAGCTTGACGAAGTTGTAAAGAAACTCACATTGGTATAGGTGCAAGGTTCTCAACAAGTAGACTTGTTGATGCAGAAGGGTGCTCAACAGTCTGAACTGTTGAGACAACAGCAGGCTAGTGCTGTTGATGCCGGGTCGACGTGTATACGTCGACCCGAGTGATGTCTCCAAGTACAAGGCAGTCGAAAGCGACTCCTTGTTGAGATGGTTCGCCGAACGCGACGACGCCATTGATGCTCGCCGCATCGATGACGATGCGATGAAGGTCAAGTTCGCCATGTAGAACGTGGCAGGACCTGCCAGAGCTTGGGCCTTAAGGCTCAAACTGCATGACCCATACGTTTTCCCAACGTATGGTGTCTTCAAGGCGCGGATCAAACACACGTTTGAACCGCCTCGCGACGAATTTAGGGCTCGGGCTGAGCTCCTGACACTGAGACAGGGTAAGCGTGATATACACGCTTACGCCCAACAGGTACGATACCCTTTTAGTTGTATCGTGCTAAACCCAATAGATGAACACTGTGTTCATCAAGGGTCTAACAGATGGTCCTGTCAAGCTCCACCTGTTCCTCTTGGAGCTAGAATCGCTGGACCAAGCGATCTCTGCAGCGGAACAGGAGGACTTTAGCCTACAACAGGCTCACGTCCACTCGGGATTCTATCGTCCACCGAGACGACAGGAGGGCGGAGGTCCAGAACCAATGGACCTCTCCTATGTAGAGAGCGAGCGACCTCGCTCTCCAGGGTACAAGCGATTCCAAAAGTGCAATTACTGTCAAAAGATGGGCCACTACGCTTATGAGCGTAGTGACCCACGCCCAGTGTCTCGTTACACGGGGAGTGACGATCTATCGTCTGCCAAGAAAGACCAGAGACGTGGGTCCCACATTGCTGCAAAATCGCAACAACGTGGTGGACCATAAAAAAACGGTCGGGGCGCTAAATCAGTAGGGCGCCCCGCCCCTACTAATCCAGCAACTTCAAGAGATCTCGCGGGACTCTTGACGAAGGTTGCTCCCAACAAACAGTCACTGTGTGTTGCCGCTTCCAGTGATGAGGTATCTCTCATCACCTTGAAGATCGAAGTTACAAAGAAAATGTCACTTCGTGCCCTAGCTGAATTTGAGACTTTAAACATTTTTGTTCGACGCCAATCGCTAGATGATCGTAGGCTCAAATATGTCGAGCGCGAGACCTTTTTAACGAGGATGACGGTGCGCCTTGCAACAGACGCATCCGTAACAGTAAAGAATTTACAGAAGAACAAATCGGTTGCCCAGAAGCGGTAACACGGTAATCCTAGATCAACTGGAGAGTTGATCGTGAGGATCTCGCTGTGGTTGGGCCACCACAGCTAGAGGAATTCGATGGAATAAGTCCCCAGGAAGTAACCGAGACGTTGAACATCTTCGTTAATGACGGACCATACGTAGGCACTTATAAGCTTGATCTGATCGTGCCTCCGAAGTTAGCTTCGGAGATAATTCAGTTGCCTACGCTAGAACCTAGAAAGTTCTTGCGTGATCTGCGTAGTGGTAAAGTCAAGCAGATCTGTGTGCTCGTCGAAGAGGACGAGTACATGACTGAAATTAGGTCAGCAACAGTTGTTGCCTAAAACGAACGGGTTCTCAGAAGCTCATCAATGGACGAAAGTGTCCTTGATAAGAAGACTAGTATTGAGCGATATACATCGCAATCCTGGGAGTCACTACAGCCAAATTCTTTGTATAAGAATTTGGTCGATTCTAAGGATGTTTTCCCTGAATCCGTTCCGTGTACATTACTAAGGATAAAGGTACTCGACACGAGATCGAATTAATTCCAGGCACAAAATATTGTGTCATGAAGCAGTGGCCAGTGCCTCGGAAGCAGGTTGAGGCGATCGACAAGTTCTGTGCAGATCGCCTAGCTGCGGGCCATGTGAGGGAATCAATCTTACCTCACAGCTCTCCGACCTTCTGCGTGCGCAAGGCCACAGGAAGGTGGCGGATAGTGCACGCGTTAAACAAATTGAACGCTGCAACGATACCGGCGCAAACGCCGATACCGAGAATGGACGTAATCATAGATGGTATGTCTAAGAGTATTATCTTTTCGTCCATGGATCTGATATATAGTTTTTATCAGATCCTAATGCGTGAACGGGAATTCCC